TAGTCAGTTCTTAGCAGCTCTCCCCTCCTCCTGCCAATTCCCCGTTCTAACGTAGAAACAGCAGGCCACAGGTTCAGGCCTCAGGGAATGTCTAGCTAATATTTAGTAACAATTATCATTATTTTTAAAAATATGTTTTTATTGATTTCACAGAGAGAGCAAGGGAGAGGGAGAGAGACAGAAACCTCAATGTGAGAGAGAAACATTGATCGGTTGCCTCCCACATGCAACCTGAACGGGGACTGAATCGGCAACCAGCTGAGCCACATCAGCCGGGGCTAGTGACAACATTTTTTATATGTGCCTTCAAATAGAATACTTGCATAAATAATGCTCATAATAAGCTCATAATAAGGTTTTTTACTTTCAACAAGGTGATAAAAAGTTTCTTTTCAAGTAAATATAGTTAAGTAAATGTGTAAATATTTAAAGGAAAATGTTAAGTAATTGTAAGAAAAATCTGAAAGTTGGCATGTAGTGGGACATGGATGAGGCAAAAATCAGGAAGGTGATATGTGAATGACTGATGTTCAAGTGCTAGCAATGTCGTGGGTTTTTTTTAAATCTTTCTATTATTTTTAAAAAATATATTTTATTGTTTTTTTACAGAGAGGAAGGGAGAGGGATAGAGAGTTAGAAACATCGATGAGAGAGAAACATCGATCAGCTACCTCCTGCACACCCCCTACTGGGGATGCGCCCGCAACCAAGGTACATGCCCTTGACCGGAATCGAACCTGGGACCCTTCAGTCCGCAGGCTGATGCTCTATCCACTGAGCCAAACCGGTTAGAGCACAATGTCGTTTCTTGATCTGCAGGCTGAATACACAAAGGGGTGCTAAAACTTTTAATGGCTTGCCCGGCTGGTGTGGCTCAGTAGTTGAGCATGCACCAAGAGGTCACCAGTTGGATTCCTGGTCAGGGCACAAGCGGGCTTGATCCCCAGCAGGGGGCGTGCAGGAGGCAGCGGATCAATGTTGATGTTTCTCATTGACATTTCTCTCTCATCGATGGTTCTACCTCTCTATCCCTCTCCTTTCCTCTCTCTCTAAAAATCAATAAAAACCTATTTTTTAAAAAAAAAACTTTAAAAAATAATAGTTATTGAATAAATGAGGGAGACAAGACAAATCTCTGGTGCCAAAGAATTCCAAATAATTTAGGAGACACTCCCTCCTCAAAGAAGGGGAGCGTAAGCTCGCAAGTCTTAGGTATGGGCCGAGCATAGGACTGTCTTCCAAAGAGCACAGTGAGGGGAGGTAACTTTACCATGGAGACACCTCACAGACACTACCTCAGCAGGCGATCAAGGCCAGCGCCCCCAGGGGTCCGTCCTGTTGATTGGATGTGCACGCCTTTAATCCAGTGTGCTGAAAACGGCACTTCACCTCTGTGGTCTTCCTCCCAAAAACCTGCACCCTGGTCTAATCATGAGAACAACAGCCAAGTCCCTTCGAGAGTGTGTACCTGATCAACACTCCCCAAACCCGGCAAGGTCATCAAAAACAAGTCTGAGGAACTGTCACCGCTAAGAGGAGCCTAAGGAGTCGTGACAGCTAAATGTAGTGAGATACTGGAACAGGAAAGAAAGAAAGCAGACGGTCCTGGCAGGAGGGCCCTGGCTGGTGTGGCTCAGGCGGTTGGAATCTTGTCCTACCAGCGGTCGGCAAACTCATTAGCCAACAGAGCCAAATATCAACAGTACAACAGTTGAAATTTCTTTTGAGAGCCAAATTTTTTAAACTTAAACTATATAGGTAGGTACATTGTTATTAATTAGGGTACTCCTAAGGCTTAGGAAGAGCCACACTCCAGGGGCCAAAGAGCCGCATGTGGCTGGCGAGCCGCAGTTTGCCGACCACGGCCTTAGACTGAAAAGCCGAGGGTTTTATTCCCAGTCAGGGCACATACTCAGGTTGCAGGTTCTGTCCTTGGCCAGGGCACATGCAAGAGGCAACTGATCGATGTTCACTCGCACATCAATGTCTTACTCTCTCCCTCTCCCTTCCTCTCTCATTAAAATCAATCAAATCATGTCCTCAGGTGAGGATTAAAAAAAGACAGTAGGTAAAAAATAAAAATAATAAAAATGTATAGACTTTAGTTACTAAGAATGTAGCACTATTGGTTTAGCAATTATAACAAACTAGATGCCAGGTGCACAAAAATTTGTGCACTCGGGGGAGGGGGGTCCCTCAGCCCGGTCTGTGCCCTCTCGCAGTCTGGGACCCCTCGGGAGATAACAACCTGCTGGCTTAGGCCTGCTCCCGGGTGGCAGAGGGCAGGCCCAATCCCTAGCTGCAGCCCCTGGTCGGTCTCAGAGCAGGGCCGATTGGGGGGTTGGGACACCGCCCCCTGTCACACTCAAGGCAGGGTCAATAGGGAGGTTGCGGAACCACCCCCTGTCACGCACAGAGCAGGGTCAATCAGGGGGCTGGGGAGCTCCCCCCGTCACTCACAGAGTAGGGCCGATAGCGGAGTTGGGGCACTGCCCCCTGTCACACACAGAGCAGGGCCGATCAGGGGGTTGGGGCGCCGCCACTGTCACACTCAGGGCAGGGCCAATGGGGAGGTTATGGCTCTACCCCATCACACACAGAGCAGGGCCTGTGGGGGGGGGGGAGGTTGGGGCGCCGCACCCTGTCACACACAGAGCAGGGCTGATCAGGGGGTTGGAGCGCTGCCCCCTGTCACACTGATCCCGGTGCCGGGAGGCCTCGCGGCTCCACTGATCCCGGTGCTGGGAGGCATATTACCCTTTTACTATATAGGATAGAGGCCTGGTGCACAGGTGGGGGCTGGCTGGTTTGCCTTAAAGGGTGTCCTGGATCAGGGTGGGGGTCCCCACTGGGGTGCCTGGACAATCTGGGTGAGGGGCTGAGGGCTGTTTTCAGGCTGGCGGGTGACTGAAGCTCCCAACACTCCTTTTTTTCTTTTTTTTTTTAATTCTGGGCCAGTTTTAGCTTTAAGGCTTGGCTCCAGCTCTTAGGCCCCGGCTGCTGAAAGCAGGTATCTGGTTTGTTTGGGTTCTATAATCGAAACACTGTTTCAACTCCAGCTCTGAGATCCCGTCTGGCTGAAAGCAGGTTTCTGGGGTTTTGTTTAGCTTCCATATTTGTAACAATGTTTCAAACTGCAAGCTCAGAGGCCGGCAGCGCCAGGCGGGGAACGTTGGAGTCCTCCGTCACTGAAGCAAGCAAGCCTCATGTTCGCTTCAAGCTGCCTGGCTACCGGCCGCCATCTTGGCTGGCAGTTAAATGCATATCACCCTGATTAGCCAATAGGAAGGGTAGCAGAGTGACACCAATTTGCATGTTTCTCTTTTATTAGTGTAGATGTACCAAAGTATGTAAGATGTTAATAACAAGAAAAGCTGGGTGTGGAACATATGGAAGCTCTCAGTACTAACTTTGCAATTTTTCTGTAAATATAAAGATATTCTAAAACTACAAGTTTATTTTTAAAATAACATTAAATAATGATTTAGTGTGTACATTGAAATTGTTAAAACTATATTTATCTGACCATTAAAAGTGATAAAAAGAATAATTTTGGTATATATAAATATATATAAATTTCTTAGCCATATATGCTTCTAATACTGTATCACTGGTATTTTTCTGAAGCATATATGTTTTTTAAAATTTTGATCTCTCTTTTCCTCCAAATAATTGCCTATAATCATCTTCAAAGTTACATTTATGATTAATAACAGAGAAATTGTTGGCATCCTTCATAGACTCCTCTTTATAGATCATAATATTTTTAATAAGGATATAGTTTCTCTGCAGGGGTAACTGACAAGCTCAGAGCAAATTCTGCTTAATGGATGATATTCTCAGTTCTACTTTCTTTAGCTAGAAATGGTTAACTATTTCCACCCAAATATTCTCATAGGAAATACATTTTTATTTCCATTTAGAATAGCTTTCTTTTTAAAAAATATATTTTTATTGATTTCAGAGAGGAAGTGGGGAGAGAGAGAGAGAGAGAGACATCAATGATGAGAGAGAATCATCGATCGGCCGCCTTCTGCATGCCCTACAACCCGGGAATGTGCCCAGATCAGGAACTGAACCATGATCTCCTGGTTCATAGGTTGAGGCTCAACCACCAAGCCATGCCAGCCAGGCTAGAATACGTTTCGTTAAAAAACATTATGAGAACATAAACCTCATCCATAAGTTGACTTTGCAATTCTTTTTAATATTTTGCCAATTGTAGGTGCTGCAAAACTATACGCCTTCTGCCTTCCTTTCAAATCAAGTACAAAATAGAATTTGCTTGATTAAAAACAGGAGCACCATCAAAATATTCTTCCCACAAGTGAAGGCATGCCAAAGAAAAAGTACAGAATGTCTAAATTGAATCTTGGCCACCACTTGAGTTCTCATTACTTAATTTGTTCAGCAACTCCCTTGCTTTCGAAAGGTAAAAGTGAATGTTTCCCAGTGTGAAATAAATGAAATTTGCTAAAAGCTTTGTTTACAAGTACGATACCTAAAATTTGATAAAAGTTTCTAAAGTTAAAGTGTATTTTGGCACACTTGTTGAACTCTCTGATGAAAGATTTTCGGTTGCTTTTGAACAAAATTTAGAGGACTCATTTACAAAATGTTCAATTCCATTGTAAATACTTAAGATTATTTACAAAGTAATTCTTCAAAGGCTCAAACATATTAGAAATCCGACCGACGGCAGACAGCAAAAGGAGAAGCATTCTGCTCTGCAGTCTGTGCCAAGTCAGAGGGGAGCCTGAGACAAAAGGAAACACTGATAAAACCATCTGGGCTTCATTTAAAGTTCTGATATTTTGTTCATCATGAATTTTTACATTAATTTTGATTTTTTAAAAATACTATTTGTTTTAATTACTGAATTTTTTGGTGCCCCCTTAAACTTTGCCCCAGAGGTGGGCACCGCACTCCCCTCCCCCTGCTCCTGGCCCTACTACCATGCTGAAATGTTTTATATTCAACATCATCTTTGCCACAAAAAATACTGTCGTGTGATTACTCTTTATGTATAAGTGTGTGTATGCAAACAACCACCGTTTCTATTTCAATTGCCAGGCCATCGCAGCTTGTTTTATCTCAATTTTCAAGTATATGTGCACCACCACCACCAAGTCCAGGCTCATTTCTGTTTTATAGATTTCCTAATTGGATATACATATTGTGTTTACCATGCTGCTGGGTTCCACTAAAATTTATATTCATACTTGAAAGCACAAATAATTCTGTCTTCAATGCTGAACTCTGTATATGAATTTGCAAGAATGTTTACAACAATGTTGGATGCGTCACCCTCACCAGAATGAACTTCCAAAAGCTTGACTTTGATTTCATTATCGAAATCAACTGAATTTCTGTAGGAAGCGTCTGATGACCTTAACTTAAAACTGCTGAGGGCCAGTAGGGTTAGTGGCAAGGAGCAGAGGCCCTTTCAAACTACTCAGCCTGGGGGACTGTGAGGGGGTGACGCCAGCAGGAGCCAGGAGGGTGCTCACGGAGACCTGCGCTGGAGCCCGCATGCGCCAGCTGCTGAGAGACCATGTGGGGTCTAGGACAAGCTCAGGCAGGGGCAGAACGTTTCCTCTGTCTGCTTCCTTTTGCTCTGCTCCCACCTGCAAGTTCTTTCCATATAGGCAGGTCAAGTTCACGAACCTATCTGGCTAGATCAGTTTTTGAGCCAACGACATGGGTGGCTGGCCAGCCTATGGATTGGCTGCCCGTGAGTTAGGTGCCAGCCTTTAGTCCAGTCAGCTGAGACCAAGGGGCAAGAGGTGGTGCATGGGCACAAGGGACAGAACATGGCCTCCTGAGCATGTAGGCATTGCCCTTAAGGGGGGCCGTGGCGCTGGCCTCCGTGGGCACTGATGGTGGCCCTGGCCCCGTCAGCACACAACTGCTGCCAGGCCTCCGTGACTCCTCCTCCAGGCAGCTCCTCTCTGCGGATGGCCCACGTGACATGGGTGCCCTCAGCTCCATTGCTGGAAGCTGCTCTCCGCGTCCATTTGACCAGACATTCTGAAAAGGAAAATATGTCCTCCACAGTGATCGTTCCTCACCACCCGGAAACCACATTCCCAAAATTACCCAGAGGAAGCTGCCAGCCTCTGCTCATGTGGTCTTGCACCACCTCAGAACCATAACAGCAAAAATTTATAGCGTCCTTGCAGAACATTTCCCAGCCTTCCTTGCACTCTTCACATGCGTGGTCATGTGATGCAGGCAGCGGTCAGGGCAGCCTGTGGGGTGACATTTCTAGGAAAGCCCCAGAGAGGGGACAGGCTCAACCACCACGTGCCTTTGGACTTGCTCTCTCTGGGGCTGTGGGTGCGCAGAGAGAGGAAGAGCAGCCACATGGACCACGAATGAGTGACAGGAAGGATTCTGGGCCTCTGACGGCATTAAGGACCCATCCTACCAGCACTGGGCTGCCTGCCTCTGTATTTCCTTTACTCAGAGGAAGGAGATGAAACTCTAATTTGTTTAAGCTGCTGTTTGTGGGAATCTCCCACAGCATCATTCCTAACTGATTCAGCATCCAGTCTTTCCTTTCCCACTGAGTCCAGTGCAGGGTAACTGGATGGAGCCACTGGGAGGCACATACATATACAGTCAGGGCGACACCTACCCCACTCCCCACCCCCACCCCCACCCCCATCCCTGGGTATGGTTTTCTCAATCAGCTGCAAGGAGCAGGAGCCCTTAGAGACAGAACACAGTTCTAGGAAAAAGGGAGGCTCACATTCCAGCTCTTCAGGAACTCCTGCTCGGATGGGGCTGGGAGGGAAGGGACATTTATTACGTATCCATTAAGGGGCAGGTATTATTTAACGCTCAGAAGAACCTTGCAAGGGAGGTGTTTGTTCATTTCATCCATGAGAAAACTGAGGTTCTGAGAGGCTGAGTGAATTGCTGTCTTAGGCTGCTACAACAAAATATCATAAACCGAGTGGCTTATACACGACAGAAATGTATTTCTCAGTTCTGGAGGCTGGGAAGTCCAGGATCAAAGCCAGCAGATTTGGTGTCTGTGTTACGGCTGCTTCCTAGAGCCTAGGTGCCTTCTCACCCTAGCCTCGAATGGCGCAAGGCGAGGGAAGCTCTCCAGCATCTCTTTTATAAGGGCACTAATCTCATTTGCGAGAGTTCCACCCGCATGACCCAATCACCTCCAAATACAATGACATTGGGGATTAGGTTTCAACACACAAATTTTGGGGGGACACAGACATTCAGCCGATAGCAGCTGCCCAGGTCGCACGGCTAGGAGGAAGGTGCTTCAGAGCTGGGAATGGAGTTGAGACATCTGATGCCATTCTCTGCTCTCTCTGCACTGCACTGCCCCGGCCGCAGACAGCCCCTGTGCCGCCGGGGGAAGCACTCCTGTCTTCGGGGAGAACTGCTCATTCCCCCCTCCAACTTTGTGGGTTTTTTTAAAAATATATTTTTATTGATTTCAGAGAAAAGGGAAATGGAGAGAGAGAGAGAAACATCAATGATGAGAGAGAATCATTGATTGGCTGCCTCCTGCATGCCCCACACTGATGACCAAGCCTGTAACCCAGGCATGTGCCCCGACTGGGAATCGAACCGTGACCTCCTGCTTCATAGGTTGATGCTCAACCCCTGAGCCATGCCAGCCGGGCCAACTTTGTGGTTTTAATGGGGATTGCCAATCATAGGCCCTCAAGGGTTGGTGCAGAATCCACATTGGACCAATCGCTGCAACTGCAAAATGTGAAGCCAGGTAGACACATGGAGGTCTTTAGTCCGAGAAAATAGTGTTGACGTGCAGAGACAGCCTTGCAGGGGCTCCTCCACCGCTGAGCAGCTGCACCCTCCCTGGTCCCACAGTTTGGTTGTGTGAACCTATATACTTTTGTTTTTTAATCCTCACCTGAGGATATTTTTTCCTATTGAAGGGAGGGAGGGAGGGACAGAGAGAGAAACATGGATGCAAGAGAGATATGTGGCGCTTGACCAGAGCCAGGGATCAAACCTGCAACCCAGGAATATGACTTTCACCAAGAATCAAACCTGTAACCTTTCGGTATGCAGGCCAACGCTCTGACCACTGGGCACACCAGCCAGGGAGAGCCTATACACTTTTTGACGAAGCCACTTTGAATTGGATTTCTGTCAGTTAGCTCCTGGTGGGAATGCAATTAGAAAAACTATTGGGTGGTATCTATGAAAACTGATCATATGCATATCCCATGACCCAGCAATTCCACTCCTAGACATATGCCCAACAGAAACAGAAACACTTGTGCTAGAGATTATTCCTAGCAGCACTATTTCTAACAGCCCCAAATGGAAACAACCCAAATACCCATCAACAGGATAATGGATAAATAAATGCGGTATATCTATACAATGGAGTGCTACACAGCAATCAGAATAAACCATCTATAAGTATATATAATATGATTGAATCTCACAGGCATTAGATGGACGTAAAGTGCATACTGTCCATTCCCTTTCTGTGGACTTTAAGAACAGGCAAAACTCATCAATGGTGACAGAAGTCAGAATAGCTGACATGGGAAGGAGTAAAAGAGAAGTAGGAAAAGGGGCATGAGCAGGAGCAGATCCCTGTTGTAGGGAAGTTTTTGTGCTTCCTTTGGAAACGGGAGTCCTGCAAGGAAGCGTTTTATTCTTCTTCTAAGCGATCTGGACACCTCTGAGCTACAGACTCAAAAATACTGACAGGGGAAAGAGGGGGGCAAGGAGAACGGATCCCCAGGGTCCCGCTCCTATCCGACTCGTAGGGTCACATCAACAAACTCTCTCATCCATGAGCAATTTTCTCTGTAGCATGCCATGCTACTTGACAGCATTTTACCCGCAGTAAAATTTCCTTCAAAATTGGAGCCAGTTCTCTCAAAGCCTGCCATGCTTTACCAACTAAGTTTGTGTCATATTCTAAATCCTTTGTTGTCATTTCAACAATCTTCATAGCATGTTCACCAGGGGGAAAAAAAATGATGCTAACAGGCTTGTTCAATGCAGGTTTGCCACAAATTCTCAATGTGTAAAAAACACAATATCGGCACAGCATAATAAAGTGTAGCACAATAAAATGAGGTATGCCTGTGTTTTCTTTGTATATAGAACGCTGGGTTGGAGGGGTTTTTTTGTTTGTTTTGTTTTTTTCATCACTTCAAAACATTGTTTCACTTCCTTTTAACCTCCATAGTTTCTGATGAGAGGTTGACAGTTTTTCTCTAACTACTTTCAGAATTAATTTATTTATCGTTAAAGACAAAGTTTATAAGTGTGATTATCATGTATCTGGGAGGCAATTTCTTTACATTTATCTTATTTGGGATTTGCTGAGTTTCTTGAACCTATAAATTTGGAGAAGTTTTCAGCCATTATTTTTCTATTATTATTTCTTGAATTGCATTCTTTCCTCTCTCCTAGGACTCCAATGGCATGAATGTTTGATATTTTGTTACTGTACCACAGGTCCCTGAAACTGTTCAAATTTTTCAATTTTTTATATCTCCATTGTTCAAACTGAATAATTTCTATTGATCTGTCTTCGAGTTCACTGACTCTTTCTGCTGTCAACTCCATTCTGCTATGGACCCTATTCAGTTATTTCTAAATTTTGGTTATCATATATTTTAGTTATATCATTTCTATTTTGTTCCTTTTTGTATCTTCTATATCTTTGTTGAGACTTTCTATCTTTTCGTTCATTGCAAGAGTCTTCACCCTTACTTCTTGGAATATATTTATAATAGCTGCTTTAAAGTAGTTTTCTGATAATTTCAAAATTTATGTTATCTTAGATTTGACATTGCCTTTTTACTGTGAGTTGAGATTTTTCTAGTTCTTCATATCCCAAATCATTTTAGATTGTATCCTGGCCATCTTGAATACCATGTTATGTAACTCTGGGTCTCGTTTAAACACCAAAAGGAATATTGATTTCTTTTTTTTCCTTTTTTTTTTTTTTTAATGTTTGCCGACATCTGACGTAGGCTAGGTACAGGTCGTAAGTTTTAACCCACTTTCTGGGCTCTGTTTCCATTATCAGCTCAGTTTTCACAGCCTTTTGCAATTCTGTTCAAATGTGGCCTACACGTGTAACTCCAGTGGCCAGTCAGGCCTGGTGGTCTGCCCCATAGTTCTGTTCTCAAAGCCTGTCATGTTCTGTTTAGGATCAGACCAATGCATTTACAGTTTGGAAGTGATCCCAGAAGTTCACACACAAAGTTATGGGATCACTCTTCTGTGCTTCTCCTTTCCACAATCACCCAACACTTTTAGGCTCCCTGGGGCCTCCCTTGCCAGGCTCCCAGCCAGAAATCTCAGGCTTTAGTTTCTCAGCTTTTCTATTGCTTCTTATGACTGTATCTGTCCAGGACTAACTAGTAGGAGGACAGAGAGGGGGGAAAGCAAACTGCCATTCTCTATGGTTCACATCTCTTCTGATAAGAGACAAGATTTTCTTTCCTCAGAATATTAGGCACCTACTTGGCTGATATATACTGCCATTACCACTGCCACCGCCACCACTGCAAGACTGTTTGGAGACTGGGATGGGAGATGACAGCGGAAAAGAAAAAAGAAACAGGAAAATTTCCCCATCTCTGATGCTAAGGAGCCTTTTCCTACTCTTCAGACCAGAAAGAGAGCTCCTTTGCTCCCATGAAGTTCTTTCTGTCTCTACCTAGGGCACCCTTCCAGGTTTGGGGCTGCATTTGAGTCCAGGCCAGGCAATACTGTAGGGGAGGGGGTCAGGAAAGGGAAACTCATCCCAGTTCAGTTGTATTTCAAATTCTTTTTCTCTCTTCAAACTACTGGCTACTATTTAATTTTCAGGTGGTCAGATAGCGGGTTCATACATCCCGTCCAGGGTTTATAATTGTATTCAGTAGGAGACATATATGTTTACGCTGTCTTTCTCAGAACCAATCTTTCATCTGCTGGGTTTTAATTTCACTTATATATTTTTATTTCTAGACTAGAGGCCTGGTGCACGAAATTCGTGCATGGGTAGGGTCCCTAGGCCTAGCTGGCAATCAGGCCTGATCAGGATCCCCACCTCCCCGCCTCCTCCTTCCCTCGCTCCCAGAGCACCCTGCCACCTCCGCTGGTCGCCCACCATGTTCCGCGCCACCCTCTGGTGGTCAGCACACATCATAGCGAGTGATCGAACTCCCGTTCGACCAGTCAAACTCCTGAGGGGACACTTTGCATATTAGCCTTTTATATCTATGTATATAAAAGCCTAAGCAACTGAACGACCAAACAACCAGAACAACCGGAACGACTGGTCAGCCAGTAGCTATGATGCGCACTGACCACCAGGGGGCAGACACTCAACACAGGAGCTGCCCCCTGGTGGTCTGTGCACTCCCACAGCGGGAGCGCCGCTCAGCTGACCAACCTGTCCCAGCGGACCCCAGCCCGGTGGCAGCCACTCCCTCCCTCAGTAGTCCTGCAGGTCCAATCTCCAGAGAATGGGCCAGGCACCTACAGACCAGCGCTGCCAGCACAATCCTGACAGCGCTGCCACTGCCGGCCTTCTGAAAGTCAGCCTCGGGCACCAGGGCCGCTTCCCCTCCCTAGACGCTCCGCAAGGAAGAAACAATATAAAAGCGGCCTCCAGGTGGTTCCCAACAACCAACGTGAACATATCCGGATCCTGGGCCGGCAAGGGCGTCCCACCAACCACCTGGAGGGCTGATCGCATCGTCCACCCCACTCCCCTCAGGACCCCACCCGTGCAGGCCTCTAGTATATAGATATTGTACTTGGGTTTTTTTCAAGCTCATCCAATCAGTTCTGATACTCTCTCTCTTATTCTTCTGTCAGACACTCAACCACCTCTTTAATTTCTTTAAGAAACCACACATAATTATTTTATCTTCTATAACAGGTCATTCCAATATCTTCAGTGGTTGTTGGTCTGACTCAGCAATATTGTTTCTGCTGACTCTCATTTCATGTAGCTTATGTCCTCTTCTGTTTAATGATTTTTTATTTTTATTTTTTTGTGTGACCTCCTGTTCCTTGGAAGTTTATCTGTGATAATTCTTAAAGCCTAGATTTAAAGTGTGTCCCTCTGGGAGCATTAGCAATTGCTTTATCAGGCATCTGGGGAACTGCATTTTTTTGCCAGTTGTTTTTTTGTGGGTTTTTGTTTGTGTGTTTGTTTTTAAGGAGGGGAGCACAGGGAGCAATATAGTGTGAATTCAGGTGCCACACCCACTTAAAACTTAGAAACTCTCAGGAAAGATCTTTCTTTCCTCTGCTCCAACCCTAGTGAAGACAGAGGCAGCTGAACCTCTGGCTCTTCTTTTTTCCTAGCCCTTGGGAATCCTAGCTTTATGCAGCTGGGACCTAGCTGTTTCGAGCTGTCTTTCTAGGTCCCACCTTGCGTGGACCCCAGGAATTATCTTCTGTGCCACGTGCTGTGTGGCCTGTTAAACCCAGACTTTGGGTCACAGGGATAGGCAGGGTAAGTGCTGGCTCCAAAACCTGTTCACCTCTGTGGACTCAAGCTTTCTTGATGCTTCTGAAAATGACATTACCCTCACTTTCTGTCATCTAAGTTATTTTTTTTAATATTTTAAAAAAAAACGTATGCAGCATTTTAGGCGTTCTACCCCAGGGGATATTTCTCTCTGCACCTGCTGCACATGGCATCTTTGACTTCTGCTAGGAGAGTCCATTCGGATCACGGTTACTGTGATAGCTAATAACCTTGCTTTTATTGTCCCCGCCTAATTTTGTATTTACCGCTGATTATATTTTCCTCCCTCTTTCTCCTTTTCCTTTTCTGGCTTGGCCAACTTTCTCTTTATTCCTTATTTCAAATCCCACCACCACCACCATCATTACTTACTTATTTAGAAATTCTACTCTGCTTTTCAATTTTGCAGCTGGCTTTGCCTGTTAACTTCTCCCCAACCCTTTTTGAAATCTTTAGAATCTTTTTATTCTCTACTCTCCAAAATGCGTCCCCTTCCGTGGATTTGCTAGTGACTTAGACCAGCGCTGTCCAGGAAACTTCCTGCAGTGGTGGAAGTGTTCTGTGTGCTCCGGCCAACAAGAAGCCACTGGCCACGTATAGCCACTGAGCACTTCAAAGGTGCCTAGAGCAACTGAGGAACTAAATGTTTGATCATGTTTAATTTTCATTAATTTAAATGTAAGGAGCCACATGTGACTAGTGGCTACCACACTGGACAGTGCAGACTTTGATGATTTCATTTCTGACTTTTAACACATGTCCCCTGACAGCATGGCTTTCTTTGTTTGAAGAATCCCTACTTAACACTACAAATTATTAACCACATTGTCATAATTCATTCTGATTTAACTATATGCATCCATTCCTTCCGACTGTTTTCCTGAGTACTTTTTCATCCCCTGTTGAGATCTCTCTTCTAACCCAGTTTTCATGTCTCCTTGAGTACTTCGTTCACTCCTTGTGTGCCCCTCAAAATTACCCTAACAGAATTAAGGTATCTCGGGATTAAGACTCTTGGGTCACAACTCTTTTCCCTAACAGCCTGTAGAAGTTTTACTGTCCAGTATTGCAGATGTAAAAATCAATGCTGGTTTGATTCTCTTTGAAATCACCTGCATGAGCCTGTATGATGTTCCCTTTATACCCTGGGGTGGCTGGTAAGAATCTCCAACCACAAACTGAGGAATATGAGGAGAATAACTGCTTATCTAACTGAATCCATTGGAGCCCTCATTTCACGTAGACGGGAAACACCGACCTAACCTTTGCTAAGGCTACGGCCCAGTCACCAGTGTCGGGGCCAGGGGGAGCCCCAGGAGGACCTAGTTCTTGGTCCTTTGCCACGTTCATTGTCCACCCAGAGACGTCTCGACATCAGACATCGGTGCCCACCAACTACGCTTTGCCTTTCTCTGGGCTCCACCTCAGCCTCTCCGAGTCCTCCTGCCCTCCGTGCCCTCACTGTGCCACACTCTTGGGCACAACAAAAGCACCCTGCCACGTGCACCCCATTCCGGGCTGTGGGAAACTCCTTAGGCACACAGGAGCCTCCTGCTGCTCCTGGGAGCCCTGGGAGGCCCTATCAGGCCCACGTGCCCGGATGTGCCCAATGAACAACGTCCACTTCTGCTCCAGGACCTGTCACAACACAAGGAGGTCGGGCTCCTCCCACCTCCTTGGCTACACCGGGCGCAGCGCCTCCCCATTCGTAGATCCCTAGGTCCATCTGGGCGATCCATCTCTCCTCTCACTTCCCCTGTGAGTCTCCTCCCTCCCCAGCTCATTAATCTTTATTTGGTTTGGGAGCCACATAGAGAGTGAGAAGCAAAGACTGAATTCAAATTCAGGTGTCCAGACATGCAAGACAGGCCCCTCCCAAGCCTGCAGGGAGCGCTCACAAAGCAGGCGCCCTGCCCCGTGCAGAAGCTGCCTGGGAACCCCTCGGGCAGGGACTTACCTGCCAGACAGGAAGTATTCAATAACTGCTATTGGAAGAGGTTGAGGCCACCCAGGCAGAAGGTGTGCAATCCTTTCCCACTCTTCACGCATGGCTGAGTCTCCGCTGTGGGCCTGACACTGATCACTGCTTGACCCATCAGCCAGGGAGCTGCGAGGAGTGGGGCTGGGGAAGGGATGAAGTTAAGAGATGAATGTGTGTACCCCAGCATGTTGGATAGCACAGTCACATCACAATGATTGATGCCAGATGCCATGCTCAGAGCTTTCTGACTCCTCACATTGCCTTTTCCAGAATGAAAGAGTCTTCTCCGGTCCCCTTTTATAGATGGGGAAATTGAGGTTTCGAGAGATTGCCCAAAGTCACACAGCAGATAACTGGAGAAGTTGGGATTCAAATCAGCTTGAAAGTTAAGGCCCAAACCTCCACACCGCACAGCCGCTGCTCCACCAGCTGTGTGTGATGCTACCCACTTAACAGATGAGGGAACTGAGGCCAGAGGAAGGAAAGAACTTGCTCAAGTTAGTGGGAGACCTGGACCTAAACTCAAGACTAGAGCCTGGGCTGTTTAACCTCAGTGGCCCCTGCCAGAAGGGAAGACAGATCTGGATGTTTGTGCCCTGGGGTGGCGGCCATCAGTACATCTGGTGCCCGTCCCAGCCAGCAGAAGTCAGCCTTTCGGGGTGAGCAATAGCAAGGCAGGCCCACACGGTCACCTGGAGACCAGGCAGTGTGCAGCCCCCAGCACAGAGGATACGTTTCGCAAGAGAGTCTCACCCCCCTCTCCCCCCTGCCAGTGCCCACACCCCACAGTGCTCACCTGCACTTCAGCCAGCAGGCTCAAGGCCCTGCTGAGTGGGTAGCCAGGAAAGTGTCTCCGCCCTCTGACCTAGTTGATTGGGCCAGAACTGGGCACCCGACTGGCTGGGCCAATCAACTTCCTTCTCTCCTGATTTCACAGGATGTGCATCTCCCTCCCTGCAGCTGTGGGCCTGGGGCGTCCTGAGGCCAGGCTGGTGGGAGGAGGCCCCGCCAGGCAGAAGGCTGTGGTGGCCATGAGAAGACCCCTTAAGCTCTCTGACTGTGGGGAGCAGAACTGACCCACGGCTTCAGCAGCTGCGCTCTGGGCCTTAAAGGTCAGTAAGTCCACCTGCCTCGTTCTACATGTGAGGAAACTGAGGCTCAGAGAGGGGGTGGTGTGGTCACGGTGAGGGAGGGAAGGAGTGGCCATATCAACAGCTGGCCTTGGACAGATGGCTCTTCACCTGCAGTTTGAAAGGCAGCAGCACTAAGACTGAGAAAGAGGCCCCCTTCCCCGACTGCATCCACAGGCTCCGCTGGCCAGCGATGGGCACGGCCAGAATACGGAGCAGACCCATTCCCAGGACGGGCGGCAGCTTCTGACAGGCACCTGGGCTACAGGGCTCCCCGTGGGCCTGGCCAAACTTCCTTAAAACTGCTCTGCAATTCAAAATGCGTCCGCTCAGCCTGCCTTCTCCCCTCCCTTCTCCCCTTCACCTGGTTCAGATCAGCAGCTAGGCCTGGAGCACCGCAGCCACCCCAGCCTCGTCCCATTTCCCTTCACAGATCTGCTCTCTAATAAACCGCTTGCACATTGAATTCTGCCTCGGTGTCTGCTTCTCAGGGAACTGGGATGAATTCCAGGCCTCACCCTGCGGGCCAGTCCTGGCTCCAGGACCAGCCTGTGTCTTCCTGAAGTGATAGGACATCCATGGGACACACACCAGCTGGGACAGTGGACAGCGGGAGCCAGTCCTCATCCTGCCCAGGACCCGTTACTCCCTAATGCACAGACTCAGGGAATGCTCCCCTCCTGAGACCCAGGTTCCACCTTTCCCTGGAGCCCCTGCAGCCGCTCCCGTCTCAGACAATCCCAGTTCTGGGACCTTTCCTACGTCAGAGGTGAATGTGTGGGTGTGAGGTAGGCTGGAAGCAGAGCAGAAAGGGACCGTCATATACTCATTTGTGTCTTATGATCCAGGAATTCATCACGCACCCACTATGTGCAAGGCACAGTGACAGCAGAGTACGCCAGGAACGGCACAAGGTTTGGAGACGCTGGAAAGGAAGAATTGAGTTGCAGTATTCCCCACTCAGAGCTGTGCGACTTTGAGCAAGTTACTTAGCCTCTCTGATCCCATTTCCTCATTGATAAATGGATTGTGTGAGAATTTCATGCTTCAGAGAACAACAAAGTGGCAATCACAGATTTCTACAAATAGCCAGAGGTTCTATTGTTAGGGCTGCATTATTACTTCTGTCCTTAAAGGAAAGAGCCAGCAGTACCAGCGTCTGATCCTTCATGCTGAGCACCCAGAGACCAGCCTCCTACACATTGTCAGTGCTGGAGCCTGTGTTCTGGCCAGTCACCCACATCCTGAAGGACAGGACCGAGTCTGGCCCACGACTCATGCCTTTCTCCTCTACCAACAGACCTCCTTCCATGAGAGCAGCTTCTACTGGCTAAAGACGAGGGCACAGAGAAGGTGGAGGGGAGGAGCAGGAGCCAGGGCCCTACGGAGGATGGCCTGGCCACCAATGGAAGGACTGAGATGTGAAGCAGACGTAGAACCAGTCCTCAGGGCTGGGCTACAGAACTGGACATCTTTGACCTGAGTTACCTGGTTAAACTCTATAAACTCTCTACATTCCAAGAGATAGATGTAGACAAAGTTACCAGCAGATTCTGAGGAAGGAGAGCTCAGACCCAAATGGAAAAGTCAAGGAGGAGGTGGCATTTAGCCAAGTCCTAAAAGATTCTGGGGGGACTAGAGAAGGTGGGAAACTCTGAGAAAAAGAACCAGTATGAGCAGAGGCTGGGCGATGGGAAAGGATGAGAGAGCGTCCCCCTGGAGTGGGACAAAAAGGAGAAAAGTTAGAGATTATGCCATAGGAGTGATTAAGTAGGACCCTAAATACCCTGGCCAGGCGTCTGACATTTACCCTGTTCAGCAGAGGGGCCACAAGGATGGTATTTGGAGCATAGAAATAATGCTCCCACGTGTATTAGCCAGATGGGTGGCCCAGGCAGACCCCAGAAAGGCTTGGCAGGCCTTGCCTTTATTTTATATCGCCCCATCTCTCTGTGTTGTGTGTGTTTTTTAAGATTTTTTTATTGATTTTTTTTTTTTTTAGAGAGAGAGAGGGAAAGGGAGGGAGAGGGAGAGAGAAACACCGATGTGAGAGCAAAGCATTGATTGGCTGCCTTCCACATGCCCCTCACTGGGGATTGAGCCCCCACCCTGGGCATGTGCCCCGACTGGGAATCCAACTGGCAACCTTTTGGTACATGGGACAACACCCAATCAACTGAGCCACACTCTGGCCAGGGCTCTGTCTGTGTTTTAATCAGGGGGTGAGAGTTAGGAAAACTATGCATTCTATATGTCATGAGCCTGTCACGCATCTCCTATGCACCCTCTCCCAATACACAGGCAGGCTCACACTCACATGCACTAATACACCGACCCATTCCCAGATTGCATGGCCAACATTAGCCACCAGAGGGCGCCTCCAACACCCCAGCAAAGCGGGAATCACACTGGGCTAGCATCAGCCCTAAACAGAAGGGGCCTTAGAGATCAACAAGTCCAACCTGCCTCATTTCACACGTGGGGAAACCAGTGCACAGAGGGCAGGGTGCTATGGTCAAGGTGAGGGAGAAGGGAGTGGCCACCTCAACAGCTGGATCTGAGCAAATGGCTCTTAAACTGCAATTTGCAAGTCAACAGAATTAAGACCGAGAAAGAGACACCCCCACATGCCAGCACATATGGCATTCACATCCCCACTTCTCCAGAGAGGTTCTCCTCACCAGCCACCACAGTGCCTGCCTTTCCACCAGTAGAGGGTCACTCTTTTAGATTAAAATACACCATGTCCAACACCCTCTGTGTAAATGTCCTGGTACATGTCCCACAAGGTGACAGATCACATCTTCAGGCCCTGAGGTGGGATGTCCACACTCTTACTAGGATCCCACTGCAAGCTGGGAGTGGGGCAAATCTCCCCCCTTTTCCCAGGGCGCTGCCCTTGCTCCTCCCATTCCTGGAACACCCCTTCTCTGACAGGGAGGCCCTGAGAGTGAGGTCCCTTCATCCTTCACCCTCCTATGTCACTTTCTCTGGAAACCTTCCCATGTTTCTCTCCACCTGCTGGGAGCCGGTCCATCCTTGCTGTTTCAAGGGACCTGGCATATATGGCATACTGTTCTTAATATGTTTGCTCACCTTCTTGGCACTGTGTGTTTTAACCAAGGTCACCTCTCTGAGAAAGGTTGTTTCCCTAGGTAGGGATTTTCCCCTGAAGTTAGAGAGGGAATAAAACCCCTGAACTAAGTGCCAGGCGGGTAATTAATCACTTTAACTACGAACAATCATGCTTAAGCTACATAATCTTTACTCCCTGGAATGGAGATAAGAAACGCCCTAACCTTTGGAATAGAGATTAATAGGATTGGAATCAACTGGTATAAATACAGATGTAACAAGACAACAGGACACAGAACCTAGACACAGAACCTAGACACAGAACCTACACAGAACCTAGAGACAGAAGAACTTCGCTGGAGAAAACATGGCAAAAGATCCTGGACAGAAACTGGCCACAGAACCTAGAGACAGAACCTGGCAAAAGATCCTGGACAGAAACTGGCAACACAACCTAGAGACAGAACCTAGCGAGAGAACATGGCAAAAGGTCCTGGATAGAACCTGGCTACAGAACTTGGCTGGAGAACCTAGACAGAACCTGGCTGAAGAACCCGGCTACCAAACCTGGCGACCGAACCTGGCTGGAGAACCTAGTGAGAGAACCGAACCAGAACCTGGCTGGAGATCCTAACCAGAACTTCGCTGGAGATCCTGACCAGAACTTGGCTAGAGATCCTGGCTAGGCTGCTGATCAACTGAACGCTGTCTTCGTGTCATTCCTTCTTCGCCGACTCCGTCCACACCTTTGGGGACCCCTGGACCTGTTGGGGTTGGACCCCAGCATCCACCCTGTTCTCCACAGCTCTCTGGGTCCCCCCCTGCCAGCCCGCCACCCACCGCAGTTCAGATGGTTATCTGTTCTGATGTCCTCAGCCCTAGCCTCTGGGAGCCCCTCACGGGTACAGGACTGTGAGCTGGTGCCTGGCTCACTGC